CAATGGTTTTGTCATTTTTGAAAATGTACATGTGTATTCTGTCTAGATGTGAACAATGATAATTTGTACGTTTGGTTTTAAAAACGATGATAATTTATTCTTCTGTGTTTACAAGATTTAAAATGATATGATATATTTTGATTCTGTCACATATTATGTAGTTTCTCTATAAAAAATGATACAGACCAGTGAAAATAAGATTTAAAATATGCTTGCAGAAATGAGATTTAAAACAAACTAAATTTGGCAATAAATAAAATTTAATCCCTCAGTTATTTTTAAAAACTTAGGTAAAATAATACATAGTCACCTCGAGTTTTAACTAAAATCGAGAGGTTTGTGGCGTGCACTAAATATTTGAAATATCAAAAGCATGTTGTTGTTATGGATCAAACCATTGACCATTTGCTTTTTAACATCAGTTTCACAAAATTCGAGGGTAAGGTGGCAACTTATCATGTAACCCTTTGTTACCTCGCCAGTCAATCTGAGATAAATATATTTCGCGTGCGAGGTAAGATGTGTTATTTGTAGTAGTCAAGACTGTCAGTGATGCTTGCATACTCAATTTCTCTAACACCATCAAAGATGTTGTTAAATAGTTTTACACTAGGATCATATGGCGTGTAAGAAAGTTGACAGTAAAATATATTTATTTAAGATCTTTTCCATATAGTGAGATTAATCAAAGGATATTCATATATCGGATCTAGTGATCTTGATTCTAAGAATCACTTTTGCTTCTCCGAGGTCTTTTATATCAAAATTGTTGCATAATAATGATTTCACAATATTCACAACTTGAATGTTTGATCCAAATATGAGTAAGTTATATACATAGACATATGATAGTGAAAATACCATTTTTATATTTATAATGAATGTACTTGTCATTTTTATTTACTTTAAACACATTCAATGTTACTAAATTATCAAGCTTTTCATGCAATTGCTTTGGTGCTTGTTTTAAACCATACAAAGACGTATATAGCCAATATGTTGGACATGTGACTTTATACACAAGAGGTAAGAGTGAATTGTGGAGGTTTGAAAAAATGGCTTAAAATAAAATCACTTATAAAATCATATTTTGAAAACATTTTGAGTAAATACGCAACGGAAAGCCAGAGGAAAGAAAAATACTGAAAAATAAAAGAGTTAAGGGAAGAAAAATAACACCAACGAATTATACACGTTCAACCAAAAAACCTACTACTGTCCCCAAGAAATATCCTTGAGAATATCCACTAAAATTGAGAGCTTTTAGAAGGACTTTCTCACGAACCTCCTTATATAAGGAAATGAAGTTTTTATGCTAACTTCTAACCAAACGGTGAAAAGGGATTATAATGCTTAGTCTCCAAACTAAATAGAGATTTTGTACGGGCTGAATCTCAAACCAAGACGAAGTTGAGATAGATATCTTACAAATTGAACCAGGGTTTTTACACATGCTAACCATGAACTGAACCGAGATTTTTACCAGGTTGATCTTAATATACTGATCTTTTACACCAGGGTGAACACATGAACCAAGAGACATTTTAACCGGGATAATCTCGAACTGATATAGTTTTTAACTTGGTTGAGTTGAAGAATCATTTTGGATACTTTTACAGGATGATCTTCATGAACCAAAATAGAGCTTTTCTCCAAGGCAAAGATCACGAACCAAAAGAGAGCTTTTTCCCCAAGGAAAAACTCACAAACTAAACAAAAACTTCCTGAGAAAACCCCCTAATACAAACAATAACTTTTAATTGGTTTACCTCACATCAAAATACCAACTTCCTATTGAAGAATTTCTTACACAAGAGAAAATACACTCTTGATTAGTTTACAAGTTTTCCCTCACCCTAAACAAATATTCTCACTTAGACTCACAAACACTCTCGAAACACTATGACTAAAAATGTGAGAAAATGAGATATATAGAGAGGTGGTGAGAGAAATGAAAAGTGAGATTTTTCTCGTTTTCTATATGTGAAAAGTGACATAGAAACTCTTTATTTCTATATCAAGGTGTAACATAAATTTGGAAATAATCCATGGGCTAAATGAATGCTCTAACCGATTAGGCAATCTAAATAACTGATTGTTGAGGCCCAAAATAGAAGGTTTTAATATAGAAAAAGTTATCAATCATTAGGAGACTAATCCAATTGATTTTTAGACTCAGCCAAGCATGATCTAATTGACTAGTCTTATGGTCTAATCAATTAGACAGATAGAAAAAGTCCTCTAATCAATTAGACATTCCCCTAATTAACTGGTTAGACCTCAAAAATATTTTTTTGATGATTTAATAAAAAAAAGGCTTGTCACGAGTTTTTAGTGTGTGCGTGTGTCTGTAATTCATCTATAATCTTTTTAGAAATATCCTTATGTATTTACAAGGCATTGATCACTCAGACAAACACGACTAAACTAACTTTCACACTTTCCCTCTTTCACACTCTAAAGCTTCAAGTCTTATTATCTTTATCTTTGATTTTAACCTCATAAAAAATCATTGAATCTTATTAATGAGGCTTATAATATATTCATATTGAATACTATCATCTAAGAGTTGAGAGGTTAAACCTTGCAATCTAAGTCTTCACTTAAAATTTGTTGGACTATGATGTTGACTTTAAATACATGTACTTAGATTGATTCAGGAGGATAGTTTGATCAACCATCTTGTGAATCTTCGACCGCTTAAGCTATTTTCAATTGTTGCTTGGCTTCAACTGTTGTCATCATCAAAACTAAACAGTTATCTGTTGACTTACAGCTTTGTTATCCATAAGCTTCACAATCTTCGATCACTTCTTAATTATACTTGCAAGTACATAGATCCACATTATAGACTTTACTTTATTTTCTATGAATCACAAACTCTTATGGTTGGTCCATATAGATTTCTTCTCCTAAAATCACCATTTAAAATGAATTGAGTTTACTGTTAAGTTATAAATAATTGTAATTGATATAAGTATCCTAATGGTTGTAATTCTATATTTTATTTTTTTCCTAAAAACTTTATCCACAAGACAAGCCTTGGATTTATTAACTGTTCCATTAGATTTTAGTTTTTTTTTTAAACTCATTTACAATTGATTGGTTTGCAACAATGATGTAAGTCTACTAATTGCTAGGTCATGTTAGATTATAGAGAGTCTATCTCATCGTTAATGACTTTTTGCCATAAATGTGTATCTAGAGATAATAATGTTTCTTGAAGATTTGTTTAATATTCTTCTACACTATAGGTCTCATAATTATGCTCATAGTCTTTAGAAACTCTTTCTTTTTTACTTCTTTAAAATTATGTTTCTCCTTCATCGTTGCTTTTGGTGTTTCTTATCATATGAATATGATTCTATTCAAAATATATTAGATTTAAAGGATCAAATTCGCTTATTACTTATTTATGTGAAGTCTTAATTATTTTAATTTGATTGCAAAATTCACATTCTTCTTAGTCTTTAATATTTAATTTTAGAATTAATTATAAATTACTTAAGTTAAAAATAATGTACTTATTAGCATAACAAAGTCTTATATGCAAACATTAAAGTCTTATATGCAAACATTAAAGTCAAACAAAAATTAAATGGAAGGAGGGATATTTTATTGATTTCAACATTTAAGTTAAAATTGCCATCACCAAACCGACCTTAGCTCAGTTGGTAGAGCGGAGGACTGTAGTTGTTATATCATGCTGTCATCCTTAGGTCACTGGTTCGAATCCGGTAGGTCGGAATTTTTTTCATTAAAAAAATTTAAACCTATTAGTGGTGTAGTAAATTTTGAAATCTTTCCAATCAGGGGCATTCATGAGCAATCTTCTAATACTTCAAGTAGCGACTAACAACGTACTTTTTTGTGAATATTGTCACTTTTTCTTCTTTTTGATAATGTTAAAAGGGAGAAAAAAGTTTGATTTGTGTTGTATTTTTTGAATGACAAAGTTTCATGGAACATTTTAAGACTTATACTTCTATTCATAGAAGTTTCCAAGGGTATATAAAAACATTATACATAAAAAATAAAAATAAATTTACCCCTTTTAAATCAATTTTACACAATTCAAATTCTTTTTAAAGTGCTTATCATCATTTTAAGTTTTTAAAACTTTGCATATTTTCACACATCTTAAAAGTTTCAATACATATTATGCACTCAAGTAATATTAATTTGAATTGTAATACAAGAAAACAAAAAATCATTTTACAAGAGTAAATTTGAAAGTTCAAGTCATCATAAAATTCTTCAACAAAGTGTTTGTAGTACTTGTTCATTATTCATTAAGGTTGTAGTGAAAATTATTAATATAAAAAAGTAGTGTTCTTTCTTTTAGGTTAGGTTAGAAGTTTGTAAAAAAGAAACATCAAGTTAGCGCTGATCATTGAATCCATAATACTTTTTCTTTCCAATTTTACACGGTGCATATATGTTTGACATAAATATAGGCGTTTGTTCCTCTCCCCACTCTCCTTCCACATAAATAAAGGGTCTCCAATTAATTCAACCTGCTTTGAGAGATTTTTTACATTCCACGCTATCATAAGACCACTTAATCTTTCACTGAAACCTCAATTATTTTAGCTATTATAGTACTACATGAGTGATCTAAAATTTTATAGAAGAAATAGTAATATACTTCTTCTGTATTTATAAGTATATTATCAGAAAGATTAATTTAAAAAATAAAAAGGAGATAGAATAATAAATGATTAAAAAATAAAAAGAAAATGTTTTGTAAAGGCTTTTATGAGAAAAGTAAATCATATTATTACAAACTCTCCAGATCCAGACTGTTTATTTGTGTAATACGAATAGAATATGCTGTCTTTCGCCAACCTTTGACTACTTTTGTTATCTCTTCATTCATCAAAACACAACATCATAAACAAACAAAACAACCAAACGCGCTTCTGCAATAATCGCGTTTGTCACCAACTCTAATTCATCCATTCCCCTTTCACCAAAAACAACGTTGGTGGCAACAAAAAATGTTAGACAAGCTTTTGGGAGCTCAAAGGGCTAGAAAATTTCACAGATTTCTCCGACATTGTAAGGTCACAATCCTCTGTCTCCTCCTCACCATTGTTGTCCTACGTGGCACTATCGGCGCCGGGAAATTCGGTACGCCGGAGCAAGATTTCGTTGACATTCGTAACCGTTTCACCTCTCGTAAGCTACCTGAATCTCATCGCAGTCTCGCCGAGACTCATTCAACACCAACGTCTTCCTCTCGTTCAGACATTTCTACAAACAATTATAATGCATTTGATATTAACACAATATTGGTCGATGAAGAGGAACAAGAAGAGGACAAAAAACCCAGCTCCGAGAAAGCTTATCGTTTAGGACCGAAGATTTCGAATTGGGATAAGCAGAGATCAAAATGGCTTATTGAAAACCCTGATTTTCCGAATTTTGTTCGTCCCGGGAAGCCTCGTGTGCTTTTGGTAACTGGGTCGTCGCCGAAACCGTGTGAGAATCCGGTGGGTGATCATTACTTGTTGAAGTCTATTAAGAACAAGATTGATTATTGTCGTTTACATGGAATTGAAGTGTTTTACAATATGGCTCTTCTTGATGCTGAAATGGCTGGTTTTTGGGCGAAGCTTCCTTTGATTCGGAAGCTTCTTTTGTCACATCCTGAAGTGGAATTTCTCTGGTGGATGGACAGTGATGCTATGTTTACGGATATGGCGTTTGAGGTTCCGTGGGAGAGGTATAAAGACTCGAATTTCGTGATGCATGGTTGGAATGAGATGGTGTATGATGAGAAGAATTGGATTGGGTTGAATACTGGGAGTTTTTTGTTGAGGAACTGTCAATGGTCATTGGATATTCTTGATGTTTGGGCACCAATGGGACCGAAAGGGAAAGTTAGGGAAGAAGCGGGGAAGATACTTACGCGCGAGCTCAAAGATCGGCCGGTTTTTGAAGCGGATGATCAGTCTGCTATGGTTTATTTGTTGGCGAAGGAGAAGGAAAAATGGGGTGACAAGGTTTATCTTGAGAATGGTTATTACTTGCATGGTTATTGGGGGATTTTGGTTGATAGATATGAGGAAATGATTGAGAAATATCATCCTGGTTTTGGTGATCATAGATGGCCATTGGTGACTCATTTTGTGGGATGTAAGCCTTGTGGGAAGTTTGGTGATTATCCTGTTGAGAGATGCTTGAAGCAAATGGATAGAGCTTTTAACTTTGGTGATAATCAGATATTGCAGATTTATGGATTCACACACAAGTCATTGGTTAGTAGGAGAGTTAGGAGAATAAGGAATGAAACTAGTAATCCTCTTGAGGTTAAAGATGAATTTGGTTTGCTTCATCCTAGTTCTAAAGCTGTTAAGGTATCTTCTTCTAGCTGAGATGTTTTAGATGGATTGAAATGTGTTGCATATTTAGCTGCAGAAATAGAAATTTAGTCTCTTTATCATATTTTTTAGGTAGAAAGTACATTGTGAGATATAGGAAAGTAGGATATGCAGTATTTGATCTGATATTCTTCTGTAACCTCTCTCTCTCTCTCTGTGTCTTAACTTAAAATGTTTGTAGTAACACACATTTTCATGAAGTAGTAATGGAAATGTGTAATGGCGGATTTGCATATAAAATATGAGGTGTGTGTGTGTGTTTGACATTGTACTTTAGGCTTGCGGTTACTATCTTGGTTTCTGATTGCAGTTTAGAAGTAAAAATAGTTTTAGACTTGACTAGTCTATCACTTGGCTAGGCAATAATTTTACAATATACAGTATTCCAAGCATTTTGAGAGGATTATAATGTTTGCCATGTGAGATCGTTCCGGACCACCATGATTATAACAGTGACTGTTTGTGATTTCACAATGAGTATGCTACCTGCTTGTGTCCATGTTACATATCAGCACAACCGTGTTGTTAGTAAATCAGTATGGCCTCTGATTCAAGCATTTTCTTCAAATATGAGTCTATCTTTCAAAAAGCTTACATGTGAGTGAAGATATTATCTAGAGGTATTGTTGCTGTTTTCTGTCAAGTTGATCTTAATTTGTATGCAATTGCTTTATCATTATTTTTAGGTAGAGAAAGTACGTTGTAAAAATAGTTTTGGACTTAACTGTCAGTTGGCTAGACTTTAATTTTACAACATTCTGTATTCCAAGCATTTTAAAATTTTCAAAAGTTTTTAACAAAAAGTAGTACAAAATTGTATGGAATGTTGTAAAAGTTGGGGTGAAGTATGAAAACAATATTTGGAGAGGATTATAACCGTGATTGTTTGTGATTGCAGACAGTATGGCTATCCACGTTACAAATCTCACACTCCAATACAACTCTAATATGATAATGTCAAAAATATAGAACTCAGACACAATTGTATTTAAATTTTATTAAAATTATCATATAATTTTTCATTGAAAACATTGCTTAATTACATATTATCATATAATTTTTCATTGAAAACATTGCTTAATTACATATTTAATGTTGTCCGTGTCATATCGATTAAAAAGTGTCAACAAAAAAAACATTTATTTAGGGACTTTTTTAAACACTTATTGTACAGAATTCAAAGACTTTTTTCTAACACTTATTGTACTGAATTCAAAACCCACTTATTTATATTTGTCTGCGCTAGTATAGTTACATTATTAGCGCAACCTTGTTGTAAATAGTTAGATAGTTACATTATCAGCACAACCGTCTTGTTAGTTAATCAGCATGGCCACTGATTCAGGCCGTGGATTTCAATCTCCTAGTAATGTGAAATTTTGTCTAATGGAATTTTCCTCACAAAGCCTGTAATATGGGCCTATCTTTCAAAAAAGTCTTACATGTAAGACAAAAAATAATAATTTCTGCATTATTGCTTTTCTTGTTTTCTGTCATGTTGATCTTAATTGGTATGCAATTTGCTTCAGCTACAATTCCTATCAGTGGTAACTAAGATGATTAATAACGGAAGGATTAAGAATTAAGAATTTGCTGCTTATTGTTAGTTATGCTAAGTGATAAATAATGCTATGCTTCTATTATAACCCTGAGATGTTTTTGTTTCTATTTCTGATATCAAAGGATATGATAATAGAACAAAAATGCAATCTATTTACACTAATCATCATAATAGAACTAAAAACAGCACAAAACAGTGGGAATTATTTACACCGGGTGTTTCTAAGATAAGCTTGTTTATGATTCCTTCCATTACAAGATCTGTATTCTACATCCATTACAAACAACATGTATGTATTCAAGGGCTTCACATATAAATTAACTTAAGATTTACAATGAAAAGAAAAGCACTGACAGCCAAACAAGGCTTTATCAAATCACTAGCAACAGAATTAACTTTCCCAAACACATACATACACCCAATCAAGCTCCCAAAAATTCCCAAACAAAGCAACAAACCAAAACTCGTAGCCCCAACTCCAAAAACCACAGGCTCCCACAACACAGTGCAGAGAAGCTGAATCAGGTAAAGCAAAAAAGCAGTTGGGTCTCTATGAAAGCCACCTTCAGCCCAAACCAACCAAGCTGAGAGAGCCATGAAGAAGGTGGAAGAAGGTAACATGAGATGCAGGAGCCATGATGGTGGAAACCAGAAGGGCTTTGTTGAAGAGGTTATGGATTGGTTGTTGTGGTTGGAGAAGGTGAAGGATGAGGCTATGTAGATGGAGAGGAGGGTTATTGAGAAAGGGAATGAAAGGGCTATTATGAGTGATCTAAGACCGCGTTTGGCCATGGCCATTCGTTTGTCTCTTTTGTGATTAATTGTTCCATTTTTGTCTTTGTCGTCGTCGTTTGTTGTGGTTGTTTTGGTGGTTTGATCGGGTGTGATGAATCGTTGTTTGAGGTCTGAGGTGGAAGAAGCCATGGGAGGAGAAGAGATGAGAAGATGTTGAGAAGAGATTGAGAGACGAAAGTGGTGAGTGTTGGAGAGGAAGTGAAGGAACGTTATTATGGTTTTAAAGGAGAGAGCGTAGAAAACTCGCGTATAGTGGACACGTGGAGGAGAGAGAAAGTGTTTTGGCTAAAACATTACGCGTGTTTGATGGCAATAAGGATTATGTTGTCTGTGTTTGGTGTGGAAGCGTGTGCTAGCTACACCTGTCTATTTCTTTTTCTCCCAAACCATCAGTACTCGGTTGTTTTTTGCCGACATAGACATAGGTTCACGTATGGTAAGAACATAGCAAAAGAAAAACAATTAAAACATTTTTTTGTTTAATCTCATTCCTTTTGTTTGACTGAGATATTGTTGCTGTTTTATTGTATTAGATACGAAATGATATAGTATGGGCTTATCTTAAATTTGATGTTAAAGTTTCTTTCATACTCCATGTCAAGACATGCATTTTCAGTCATAAGTCAAGAGATTAAAAAATAAAGACCAAGGATATCTACTCAGTATAAATCCAAAAGAATCATCATAATCCTAACTACATTTCATCTTGATAACAATATGCGTCCCATGTCAATTTGATAACAATTCTAATTACAAATCCTAATTATATATATTCTATATTAAAATAAATAATAATAATAACTATAATAATAATATAATAATAATAATATTAAACTACCTTATTAATATTAATAATAAATTAGTATCTAATTAATAATAATATTAAAATAATAATAATAATAATAATAATAATAATAATAATAATAATAATAATAATAATAATATAATAACCAACTACCACAACTATATATAGTCATTTTAAACTCTTACTCTTTCACTCCTCAATTTTCTTCATTCTCCATTATTTTCAAAAGGTTACGTATTATTTTCCAATTCTTCTTCATTTCCATATTTTGATTCTCTGTGTCCATTTTAATACAGATTTTGTAACAGGTCTAAATAGTAACATCAATGGCGCGACCGATTGAAGCTGTGAAAGACATCAACGACTCAAACATTTAATTTTGCTGACATGTCAATCTATCATAATTTTACACTATTTTTTATTTATTTGATTTATTAATTTATTTTATTTATATTTGAATTTTATTTATATTTGAATTCCAATTCCAATGTTTCATTCACGGTTAATTTATTTATATTTGAATTTCAATATTTTTTTTTGACAGAATTTGAATTCTAATGTTTGACTCACGGTTAATGAGGAAGGAATTGGAATGGCCAAATTAGATCTATTATAATTAAATGGAATATTATTCATTGCATTATTTAAAAATACCCACTATTTACCATTACACTACAAGATTAAATGTATATTATTGGAATTAGAATGGATTATTTTGATATTCCAAGATATCACAACTTCCTATGCATTCTAAACCCTATATATAGTCATTCTAAACCCTTACTCTTTCACTCCTCAATCTTCTTCATTCTCCATTATTTTCAAAAGGTTACGTATTATTTTTCAATTCTTCTTCATTCCCATATTTTGATTCTCTGTGTCCATTTTAATACAGATTTTATAACGGGTCTAAATAGTAACATCAATGGCGCGACCGATTGAAGCTGTGAAAGACATCAACGACTTAAAGGATTTGTGGAAGATTGTTGTGCGACCGATTGAAGCTGTGAAAGACATCAACGACTCAAAGGATTTGTGGAAGATTGTTGTTCATTGTAAACATATGTGGACTGTGACAAGTTCATCCAACAAACAACACTTGGAACTCATTTTGGTTGATTCAAATGTATAAATATTAGGGTTTTTTTGTTAATATATGATGTTGGAGGTTTAAATTAATCGTTCTAATTTCCCACGGTTAATTTTACATTTTGCAGCTGGATATGATTCAAGCCATTGTCCCACCGCCTTTGGTGTCAAGATACTTGGTTGAACTTGCTATTGGAGGGTCATACATAATGCAGAATTTCAAAGTCTCGAATAATGATTTCTCATTCAAATCAAGTACTCATGGTTTCAAGTTGGTCTTTTGTGGTTCAACTTTTATTAGGAAAACAGAATTACCAGACATTCCTGTAAATTTTTTAAACATTATTGGGTTGGACACCATTGTTGATGAAAAGTTTCAGTCTAATTTATTGGTTGGTACGTTTATTCATATCTTTATATTACCTTATTTCGTTGATTCCTTGGATGTTTGATAACTTTTGAAATTTGATCTTGTTTAGATGTTGTTGGAGGAGTTACTGAGATTGTGCAAACTCAAATCAATGCTGATAATAACAAAAGCAAGGCTGTATTTATAATAACCGATATGAGGTATGGTTATAGTTTTTTTTACATACTGTGCAATTTTATTCTTTGACTTCATTTTTATTGGATCTGTTTTCCTGGCAGCAAATCTTTCGTTCAGTGTACTTTATGGGGACAGTTGGCTTTGCAGTTTTATGAATATTACAAGACTCATAATGAAGAAGGAAATGTTGTTGTTCTATTGCAGAATGCAAGGATAAAGGGCGCCCAAGGTAGTGTTAATTGGGCTGCATAATATTTATTTACTGATGTATTAAATTGATTACAAATTAAATCATCTCCATTGAAGTAATATGTGGATTGATCACGTGCTTACGATATTGTTTTTTTATATATCAAAGGTGGTTTCCCTTTGAATGTATCCAACGCATGGAATGGCACTAAGTTAACTATCAATGATGTTAGCGTCGTTGAAATTAGTAAGCTGAAAGAAAGGTAGTTAATTTTTTGTTGGTCAAATCCTGTTCATGTATACAATTTTGATATCCATTATAACCGCTAATAACATTTTATGTATTGTTTTTTTCACTGTGTTATACATCACAGTCTTCAAAATGATTTGCCAAAGTTATCGCAGTCTACCTTGCAAGTTGAAACCACCCAAAACTCACAGTATACTGAATTTGATAAGTTTATATGGAAGGCAGAAATTCTTAGTCTGGCTGAAATCTCAAGTCTTCAATATGTAAGCTTAAATTAAGTAAATACTTTATTTATCTCATAACTTTGTATATGATATATTTATTTCGCATTCTTTATTCCATAGGAGACAACCTGTGTGACCGTTGCGACATTGGACAAATTTGAGGCTGGCCAGGCGGGGTGGTATTACGATGGTTGTGGTGTCTGTATTAAAAGTGTGTCTCTGAAGGAAGGAAATTTGAAGTGTTATGCGAATCATATAACGACTGAAACCGTACCGAGGTGTGAGTTAAAACATTATGTTTTGTACCTGTTTGAATAATGTAGTCCATTGTTGTTCACTATGTAATATTGTTTAATTACCTACTTTAATTCTTATAGATACAAGCTTGAGATTATGGGAATTGATGGGAAATTCAAGGCCCGATTCATCTTTTGGGACAGCGACTGTGTGAAATTAATCGGAAAGTCTGCTTTGCAAATTAAGACTGAATTGATAGAGGTATTATTCATTTGAATCATTTCTCCAACCGTGGATTTTAGTTACAATTTGACGTTGTCCATTACATGTTGCACTTTTATTATTTTAGTTATAATTTTATCATTTCTCCAACTGTTAATCAATTTTAGCTATTAATTTTATATTTCCTTTGGATGAATTAATTTAGGAAGGTGAAGACAATCCTTGGGAATTCCCATATGAACTTGATGCTTTATTGAAAAAGGAATTAGCTATTAGAGCTGTTTTTCAGCCAAAGTTTGGAAGACTCTCAGTTATTGGGTTCAAAGACGATGAAGAAACACGTAAGAAAATACGGGACAATTTCAAATCTGAAGAGGTATGTTTTGTTTGAAGACTAAATTAATTATGCCGCTGAAACAACTTTGGTATAATAAATCGTTTTTCTGATTCAATTATGTCTTGACAGGCAGCATCGAAGCTTGGCGTATCAGAGCCTTCCTCGCAAGAGGATTTGAGGAGTTTTTCTGTAAGTATTTACTTTTGTCTTTGATTACATTAAGTACAACATTGCTTGCTGCATATTATCATTAATCAATGTTTCTTAAAATATTGCAGGAACCATTGTCCGCATCTGCAGATTATGATCCTTCTGTTGCGAATTCGGGGCTGACACCGTCGAAGAGAAGAATAATCGATGTAGCAGAAGATGTTGAAAGTGTTCAACTTTCCTCAACAAAGATGACAAAACCAATCAAGGAGGAAAAATTGATATAAAGATGGAACACAAACTGTTGTTTATTAAGCTTTAGTTTATCATGGAAACAACTTAATTTTATTATGCTAAGTATTAGTTTTAGTTTATTTTATGTTTTAAAACAATTGCATTGTTTCCTATTATTTTCGTTGTTTGGGTACAATAGAAACATGTTCATGTAAACATGCTTTCTCATAATTGTTTGAGCTTTGTGTCTTTCTTTTAATATATCATTCCTACTACCATTTAGTTTCATCCACATTAAATGTTTCTGAAATTTTGCAACATTTCCACCAATGCTGCACTTCCCGAGCCAGCACTGCTCGAAGCCTACGCCTATCAAAAAACGTTTCAAGCCTATCAAATGCATGCTTGAGTAGTTACTATTCATGATGCACTTCATTTTCGGTTTCCAAAGTGAAACTATAATGATTTTTTCTGACCATTACTTTTCTTTTCAATTCAAGATTAATTGGCAGAATGGTTAGAATCTGGAAAGTTACCTTTTCTTATTGGTACTTGATTGTCCATAATTATAACATTTTAAATTAAATTTTGAAATAACACTTAACACTATTTAGCGCTATTATTATTATTAATAATTAAAATGGTTCACAAAAATAATCACTTGGTATTCTGTTGACTTCAGTATTTTACTTCAAAATCTTGGAACCGTGAATGTTGTATTAACAATTATATTTATTATCATATAACCAAAAACTTTATTCATTTTATGTCTACAATCATTTTATGTGGTTAACAAAAAAAAATTGAATGACAACCATACAATCAAAGTGATTTTCTACTCATTC